CATTTGACAACAGGGATTAGATACATGCTTGGTTGTTTAAATTGTTCTTCTATGCTTAATGGGTTCCTAATGCTTAGTTTTAGGTTAGACAACAAATGATCAAATTAGGGAATTAGGAACACAAGGTTATGACCAAACACCATGGCTTAATCATACTTTAGCTAGAATCAATCCGTTAATCTAATTGAACTTGGGAACTTATTTGCTTGAGTTATTTCCTTTGTTCTTGTTTTATTTATTTTCTTTTTCATTTCTGTTTTGTGTAGGGGAAATGAATTGGATCATTCAATCACCAATCCTCGTGGGATCGACCTCGCACTTACATATGCTATACTACCAAACGGCTCGTGCACTTGCGAGTATCACAAGTTGAGGATGCAGCTGAATCTATTTTGGTGCAGCTGAATCGAAGCAACAACAATCGAAGAGAGCATCCATGGCCTGGACTAGCAGAAAGGTGAGCTTTCTTAGGAGGATTATGTATGATTGAACCCTCCTCGTCTTCAGTACAAATCTTCTTGCCCTTTCTCTGTTTTTGAGTTTCTTGCACATCCTGGTCAAGCACACCAGATTCAACTTCTTCAATTATAGGCCCATTTCCAGAATTTTGCTGAAATGGCACATTGGGTTTAGCCCAGTCGCCATGCTTTATCACTGAGTTGAACCCCTCACCAATCTCCATGTTTGCAGTAATATTGGCCCAAGTTGCTGAAGTTAGGGCCCAAGGTGGAACCCTCATTGGGTCACACAAATCTTGATCCTTCGCAAGCCCATTCATAGCCACAGTAAGAGTCCCGTTATAATCCTGAGTGCTAAAACTCTCAAGGTCTCGCATCCCACGGTAGTCATCAAGCGTGGCTCTGTGTTTTGGCATATTAGTGTTGTCAGTACAACGTTGCAAAGCCACAGACTGAAACGTTGCAAATGTCCGTATTGTTGCTGAACCCCCTGCATCCATTTCAGCTGTTTGTATTGTCGTTGAGCCCCCTGCAACCACAGCTGTTCCATTGACTTTCAACTTTGTCCCACTATGCTCAACCCAATTGTTGCCGGAGATGCCGTCTTTCTCGCTGGAGGAGAATTGCTGCTGTCCATTCCAGGCGAGTTGGGCTCTAGATTCCATTCTTTTTTCCTCTGATTTGCTTGGAAAAAGGGACGCCGACGCTCTAGAGACCGGAGCCGCTCTCAACCAATCTTCGTGTTGCAAGTTTTCTGCTATAAGTCTTGGGTCAAGAGCTATTTGGCATCCCCTTGAATGGCCCAGCTTACCACATGAGTAACATAAGTCCCTTAGACCCTCATATCTAATGAGACGCTTCCCTTTAACTGGGCACGGCATAGTAAATCCAGGAGATAGAGGTTTAGATGCATCAAGGTCCACTCTTATTCTCATGAACCCTCTAAATCCAGCCGTATCAATGTCTTCAACTTCCATAACCGCTCCGACTCTCGCACCTAGCACCCTGGCATTCTTTGAAGTACAGAGATTCCTTGGTAAACCATGCGCCTGAACCCAATACACTGCCTTATCCGCTGCAATATCATACAAGGAATGATAAAATGGCCATAGCATGGTGGTGAAGGTATGGCCCTTCACAGACCATGGGTTCCCATCCACCAGATGCCGGGCAACCTTCTCGTCTCCTACTGTTATGGAATAGACATTTGCCTTTGCTTTAACAACCTTTACAGCCCCCATATTGTTCCAAGCAACACGAAGAACCTCTTTGATTGTCGCTTGGGGTGGTTCATGGTTTGCAATTAGCAAACCAACCAAAGCAATACTGTTTTCAAGCTTCTCATCCAGTCTGTCCTCGAAACATATGGACAAACCATCTTCGACCTCTTCCTTGGAAAAAGTATCAAACTCCTCCATCTCACCAACGTGGGACCAAAGTCTCTCCTGCTAAAAGAGAAAATGGACACTACTAAGCCCGTTTGAGCTTACCACAAGCCATAACGGCCACTATCAAGGATTAACCTCACTATCAAGGATTACGCTCACCATGTGAAAACTTAGCACCCAAATTTGGGTTTCAGTATCAATCTATCCTTCACATTGTGCAACGTCGAGAGGGAGGAGATAGGAGGGAAACTTTTTCATTTTTCAAATGGTCTACTGATAAGTGTTCTTCCTTCTCTTATATATCCTCTACTTCTCTTTCACTGAAAGTAAATCCAATTCTCTCGGTCCACATTATCCTTAGCACAAGCATAAGATCCTCAACCAAATTTAGCACAACTGGTCTCATCATCTTCATCATCATGGGTTCAGAAACGTTTCTAGAAGTGATATTGGCAATTATCCTGCCACCTGTTGGGGTCTTCCTCCGCTACGGCTGTGGAGTAAATTCTTTTACCCTAATGCCCAAAAGCCATTCTATTTCTGTTCTTTTTTGAGTTTTGAGTTTGATTTAATTGTTAAATCATATTGTGAAAAATGCAGGTGGAGTTCTGGATTTGTTTGTTGCTGACACTGTTGGGATATATTCCGGGAATTATATATGCATTATATGTACTGGTCGGATGATCAAGTTTTTCTGGAGGTGAAAGAATAATAATATGGCAAACGACATGTGTGGTGTGGGTTAGTTTGGTTAATGTCACTTTGACTTTGTAATACAGGATCATAATATAGTTTCCTTATAAATTTTCCTTGTGTGCTCTGTTCTTGTTCTTTATTTTTTTGAAGAAGCAATTGCACACTGTAATTACATTCACTTATGCTAATTGACACTAATGTAGAAAGTGGAAAGTCTGAAAAAAATCAAGTATAATGTTCTAGTCTCGAAAACAGAAAACAGAAAACAAAAATGTTCTAATGCGAAAACACAAAACATATGAACACAAGTCATGGATTTATACCTTGAAATAATAATGATCAATTTGCATGATGAGTTTCAATAAAATACAACTTTCAATGCAGTAAGTTTTATATTAGGAAAGGAAAATGTTCATAATTGATTTGAACATTTGGACTTATATGGTATGTCTTTTATATATATA